CTGCTACTACTACTACTACTACTACCTGATAAACCATCGCATTTCACTTGGTAAAGAATGAAATCTTGAGTCGTGCCATGTCTATAGTACATGTTCATGTGGTTTAAACAGGTACATGTAAATATTGATGCCAAGCACTAAATTTGAAACTAACCTGCTTCATTGCTATTGAACCCAACTTCTCAGAAACCTTTCTGATTTTCTCAAGAAAATCCTATGGGAAAAAGAGCTGTATAATATTATCCACTAGCTATTGCAAAAAAATAAAATAAAATTTGTCCAAAAGTACACAATATACAATGTTTAACCAGTACTCATGATCAGATTCAGTTTGTGGAGAAGATAAGAATTCTCAAATTTCCACCATGCACCACTCCCCTCTACACGTAACACACATAATATTGCTAAATAAAGTGCATGATGTAAATTAGTGTGTATCCAATAGAGCCAGCGTTGACGATACTAATAGCCAGTACAACCAACCAGTCAAAATAACTCTCACCCTTAGGTCAGCCATTGAAGCTTCTTTGATGTGTTTTCTTAGAACAGGGATACTTTCCTGCATGATCTCTGCAAATCTGAATCTGTCAATCAAACCAGAGGTGTACATAAATAGGTACCAGTGAATTAAATACTGGGGTAGCCATGCCATAGAGAGTCTACAGGGGGATCCCATTCAGGAAGGAGTAAAAATTCTTTGACATGTAGTCACTTCATGCTAGGGAAACTGAAGATAAGCACTGTCACAATTGCTCACTAGGCATGAACACACACTTTAAAACCTATAATGAAGGCAGGGAATCAGATCCATAACATATGATACTGTACTATCGTAATAAACCAGTCATGTCAAAATGAATGCAAATAATTACTGAACTGTCCTTGCTAAACACTGGAAGTACCTTTTTATCCGGGGAAGATATGTGTGTTCAAGCTGCTCCAGAGTTTTTAAAGCTGGGTAGTACCTGTGAAAAATCCAAAGCACATGTACATGCTTTCAATGTTCCTGCCAACATTAAGTATCAAGACTGAATCACATTCACAATGCAAACTGCAAAACAGTTCTAAACAGACTACAACATGTACATTAACAAAACCATGAAACCAAGTACACTGTATGTAATACTAATCAATCACGAGATTTTAAGACAACACACATAAACAATGTACATGTCTGCAGTACCTATACAAAAGAAAAATTGCCCACAACATTATCATTCCAAAAGAATTTAGACCACATTGGCAAGAAAAAAAAAATAAAAGGAGCTGACCTTCTGTTTTTCATCTGGTCTTTTAGTTTTGCGTACATCTCTAGGACTACAACATGAAAAAAATAACACTGCGTTTAGCTCTTCCTTCTGAAGGATTTTTACCCTTTATATAAATCTATATAAACAAAGAACAAACAAATGTAAAACACTAAACACTCTAATGCAAGGTCATACACATACACAATGTCACTCAAAAGGTAAGTTATCATGATCTCACAAAGCCACATCTATCCACATTTCACCTCATAGAAATGTTTGGAGCTCATAATTATTATCTAGCCCATTTGGCCGGGGTATAGTATCTGACATCACATGCCAGTGGCCAAACCCAACCTAACACATCTTTATGCACAGGAATATTCTTCCAAATTGTTTACCTGGTAAACAAAGGCTGAGGGTTTCTATGGCTGATACAATGTTTCTTTGAGTTGTACGGCAGTGTATCAAATTTTCACACTTGCTTGTAAGCTATCAAAAGCAAACCAACTGTTAATATGACTATAACCAAATCCTATGAAGTTTTTTAACAAATGTTAAATTACTAATATAATGTTCACCTTGTGTGATTGTCCTGGTGAGAGTAGTTTTGAAATGAACTGTTGTTAGCGATTAACGTTTCAACAACTAGAGCAGAAGACATCTTCAGAGTCAAGTAAAAAGTGTTTGTCCGTCGATGATGTTGTAAGTCTGGTGCGCTGAAAGCGGTTGGTCAGTTTAGCGATGATGGCATTGGCTAAAAGACTAGTATAAAGTTTGTCAGCAGTCACTAGTCGGCTCTAGTAAGTTTCAATCTGTCTTTGTTAGTCAAATAATATCACATTATAATATATAATTTATACGTCAGAATTTGTCCAGGCTTACAATACAGTCAAACAACAGTTTTAACCTGTTGTCAGTATAAACTCAGAAGGCTATTTCCTCCTGGAAAACTTGGGCCAACACAAAATTTAGTCACCAGTTTATTTATATATTCACAGACCTCGTGTCCTGATTCTTGCATGGATTCATTCACTTCCTTTACTTTGATCTGATATGCAAATAAATGAAAGTTGGAGTATTTTTAACACTTGTTGTGAAGTACAACATTGTCACTAGAAATTATTGCTCTCACTATTAAGTAATAAATTATCAGCTAATTAAATAAAAACTAAGAAATTACATGTATGTATGTTGTGTTTTATCCTTGATACAATTTGGTATCTTCTGTTCCTTTGTAATATAATTTAATGTATATGAAATAAAGGAAAAAACCAAATTGTACCAAGGGAAATATTGCACCACAACACACGTACAAAGGACGCCGCATTAACTAAATTATATACAATACATATCAAACATATTTTGTTCAATTAACTACAAATTTCTTTATTTTTTTTACTGTTAGGATAATTGGAGGGCTACATGTCACAGCAATGAGTGAGAACTGTCACCTCATGTAAAGGAATGTGTTAAATTCTTTAAGGTGTTCCTAAATATGAAATTAGCAAATTAACAATTTTTTGTTCTCTGCAGAGCTGCCTATCCTAATACAAAACAATTCAACGCCTCAAAAATACAGCATGGGCGTCCTTAAGACACAAGGATAATTAATTCGTTCACAAGGACACGACAATAAAATTAAATCGAAAGTTACATGCAATGTACAAGTACCTGGAGGGTGCGAATCAAAACATGTACAACCACGATCAAAAATTGTAGAACAGAATCATGTTTTAAGATACACTTAATGGGATAGCAGTAAATTAAAATACCTTGAGTTTTCGAGCTTCTCCACGCACTTTGAGCAATTCATTTACAGACTCGATGAAACCTTGATAGTGGTAGTTGCACATCCGTTCGATGTCCTTGTCATGAACTCGTATTCGTTCCTCCAGCTTGTCCATAAATTCAGTGTGTTGCTCTCCATCATACACGGCTCTAAAACAGTTTTGGAGACGGAACATGAAGCATAATAATACAGCAGATGAAACTTCCTCCACCTAATACAAGTGATCTGTATGTGACAGGACTGTTGATAAGCTTCAATCTACGCACCTTAACGTTGGTCCGAGGAGACCGTCACTTGATTCAATCTCCGCTAAGAGGTGTTCAACATGAGAGCTAGATACCGTTGGCTCCGTAGCCATCGCAGTTTAATATACCTGCCTGTTCAAGGTCACGTTATTTTTGTCTGCAAGAAAACACGGACTAAGACATCCGCCATCTTGAATAGTAATCTGGGCATGTTTGAGCATGCGTGACAGCTGTTTCCTGTGGCCGCCTCGTTTTCGCGAAATATCCAAGTACCCTGGGAACAAACTTCACCATATCTTACATAATTTTCCCTCGAAACTGTAAGATCAGAATTTCCTTGTTATATCTTAACGTTTTGAAGGCATTGACGTTCGAGCCCAATGTCAGGAAAAGCTGTTAGTGCTTCAGTCGCTGCACCGCTAGAAGAAAAGCCCAAAGTAGAGGATAAGAAGAAGTTAAGGCCTTGCTGTGCTTGTCCAGAAACGAAGAAAGTACGTGACGCGTGCATCGTCGAACGTGGTGAAGAAAATTGTGGCGAATTGATCGAAGCACATAAAAAGTGTATGAGGGAAATGGGATTCAACATTTAAACTGGACACGGATTTTTCTGGACGGTGCTTATCACCTTCCGCTGACATTCAAGGAAAAAACTCTTTGTGCATCTTTTAGTGATCTTGTGTGTGCTGTATGATGCAACTGCGGTAAATATTGACCAAGTCAACTCGAGACAAGAACCGGAGTCGACAGCGTCAGAACACATTGGCTTAGAAATCAAGAAGACTACTTTGTTTGTGATGCGGCTCATCAGCTGGAATTTTAGAGTGGCAGTACTTGCTATGGGACCGCTCACTGCCAACTTTTACTCTTTTACTGCGTCCAAGTGGCCAGGATGGAGGGTTGGGAGATAGGGGGAGTGGGGTGAAACAAATACAGGGAAGCTCTACGACCACCTCCGGACCATAAAGTTGTAGGCTTACTAACAGGGTGGCCCTATTAATCAGCTTCCAAAACTGACAAAAATAACAAACTAGACATTTTGATCAGACAAAAAATTGGCTGTAATAACAATGTGGTCATATGAAGAGGCAGTCATTAGGCATGGTTCCACTGTACACCACAACATTTCAATACTTGATACTCGCAAAGAATTTCCAGAACATGAATCCCAAAAATACTAACCCAAATTTTCATCTATTAAACTCCTTTTCATTTTTTCCTTGAGTGTGCCCATAATGTTTGTATTGTCATTTGCAAAAGGATGTACTAATGTAAGCTTAATTTATTTCCTTAATTAAATGCAGGTAACTTTTAAGTGTTCCCATTGCTGGGAATGGTAGTGGTATCAGTCTGTTTGGGCTATCTTTTAACTGGATGTATACTTAACTGAACAAGTCTAATGATAGAAACCTAATTTTGACAGTACTTGCCATCCCAATCTCACAAGAAAAATTGAGCAAACATCACACATAAAACCTAGCAAATACCATAATATCTTGCACATCGATCAAAGGGACAACTTTTATTGTAGATTAACAAGTACTCTGCAGAATCATTTAGTACTGTTTGTAACTGTGAGATATTGTGACTTGTGATGGAATGATGCCATATCAGTTTGTTTCTGAAATGACCAGAAGCATGAAATGGGTTGGAAAACTGCAAAGGATAAGTTTTTTTTCTTACCAAGGGGTGGATTATTGCTGACCAAAATGAAAACAAAATGCACCTTGCAGATTTAGACAAAAAGAAACTGCAGTTCAAGACTAAAATTATCAAACTATGGGATAAAAAAATTGCCCAAAAGTGCAAACCATAATGTCACCCTGTTTAGAACTGTACCAAAATGAAATACAATTTCAACACTGCCCAGGGGTTTGAGACTTTAAGTGGTGTAGACTAAATTCCTTCCTTGCAAGACAAACAATGCTATACAGCTAACATCAAATTATGTATGCCTATTCAGGGCTGTCATGAAGTTGTGATTCATCTGTAGTCTTGACACCCATAGCAAACTTGTTTCTTTGTGGGTGAACTGTATTAACTACAGGCAAGTCCACCCATAACAGCAAGGGTCCATCAAGCATACTCAGCCATAACAGGTGTTACAGATTACAGCCCTTATTGGCAGCCCTGCTTTTATCCCATTCAGGTCTTCTTTGCCCCTAAACTAATATGTAATCTTTGCAGAGTAGACAGCATTATGCTAAGTTATTCTTGTTTGATGCACCAGCATAATTTGAAACTATTACACGGCTTGCACATCATGCCATTATGTACATGAAAAACCCAGAATATTTGAACAGGTATTTTACATGAATTCCATTGAAGTCTTTTTTTACAAAAATTTGCAAAACCATGATAAAAATCAGGTGACCAATAATAATTTTCTCCGAAATTATTTTTTAAAAATGCCGACAAGTTACTTCTCATTCAGAAATATAAATCAAGATAAATGTACCCATTATTGACCTCACTCTACAAAGTGTTCCAAACCTTCCAACACATGGAGCTTTGACATTGCTCAAGAATTTTTTTCGTGTTAACTAAAGCAAGAAGAAAGATTTAAATCAGCTTAAAAATTTCTTTCATTTGTTTTTAGTGTAATTTACATTTCCTTTTAGTTTCATTCATACTACAGTTTTGGTTTCGTACGTATACCTGTTATTTTTTCCGTCTTACAAGCGTGAAGGGTTGTCCCGGGAGTGCTTGGATTTTCGAAGAAGACCCGATCATATCCGAGAGCGTCTATACATTTCGGGGGTCGTTCCGAAGGGGTTTCGAAAATTTCCAGGTCCCACTCGTCCCAGGATGTGTTTTGCCGAAAAAGCGTCGTTACCAGACTTTTGACTTAAAATTCGTATTTTGGGGGGAACATCCTTGGCTCCGATTCTCCAATTGATGAAAATCAAACTGCCCCGTTTTCAAAAGTGAAAGTCCGCTTTTGAAAATCAAACTCCTATTTTCAAATGGTAAACTCACAAACTTGATTTTAAAAAAATCAAACTGTGACTTTCAAAAAGTCAAACTACGATTTTCGTAAAACAAACTCCAACTTTCAAAAATCAAACTATGGTTTTCAAAAACCAAAACCAATTCACATTTTAAAAATTAAAATAATTAACTCTAATTCAGTTAATGAGTGATTGTCCCTTTGAAGCCTCCGTAAATAAAGCTCAAACTCTGTCGCCTATCTAACGCCCCAACATAGGATCTCTCAGTTTTCAGTTCTAAAAGTAGAGCTTGCTAAGAGGACCTAAAAGCTGTACAATAAGTGGATGTCATTTTGAATCTTCCGTGAATGCAGCTCAAATAACGTCGCAACATAAGATATCGCAGTTTTTAGTTCGAAACTGAATCGCAGCTTGCTAAGAGTCGGTAAAAGCTGTACAATATTGTTTAACGTGCTAATTGTTATCACCTCAGTGGCAATCTTCTTGAATCACGGGAGTCATCAATCATAATAATTTCTAAAGCCTGTTAAAATAGTTTCAACAAGTTTTCTCGTGACTGTTCGAAAGACACGGAAAACAAGGAAACTTCAGAAATTACCGTTTTCAGTTTTCAATGAGTTGCTATGGGAAACGTGAATGCAGTTACTCCACCATTGATTCTTCTTGGTCTTACCGAAATCATATTCTTTATCATTTAAGAGGGTTTTGGTACTACATCGTTTACGTTTGTCGTTGACGATATACTTGGATCTAATAAAATCAAACAATAGCATTTTTGAATGGCGAACAATTATCAATTTTTATGGCTATTTTTCTGTAGTAAAGTTAAAATGAATTTTACACCTCAAGGGTAATTTCCAAGACATGCGAAACTCTTATGGCTGCATGCAATCAAAAACCAAAACTTAACTGAGTTAATTGTTTCACGTTATTTCAGCCTGAAGCAAGTAAAATAAAGCATTCTGTTCATTTTGTGACTAGATCAATACTAAAATGCTACTTATTTCAAGTTATAACAGGCCGAACGAGAGCAAGCTACATTTTACGCCAGCCATCTAAAACATTGGGCCTCGTCTTGATATTGATTAGTGAGAAAAATTGCACAACTTTGTAAAATAAACGTAATAACCGAGATTAATCAAAGTTTATTACTCCTGTTGTAAATGGTGTATAAATGGCAATGCTTTTAAAATAGTTGAATAGGAGCTTTCAGTTACTGGGATACGACAACCACTCTTTTGAAAGCACGAACGACTGTTAGGAACAGTTCACTTTTGCTGAGACAGAGAGGCAGAGCCAGGAAAGGTTGGATGTTATCTGTAACATTTTAAATTTTCTTTTCTCGTCAATTTCTTCACAAAATCTTAACCGAAAAACCGAGGGGGTTGGTTTTTTTTCCTTTTTATTTTTTTATTTTATTTTTGCTATTTGTGTTTATTATTTTTGAGAATAATGCTTTTTGAAAACAAAAGACAAAAGTTGATTCTGCTGCGTTCGAAGTATAAGAAAACCTGTACTGCATTTATTGACGACGTATTTCAAAATTATGCTGCGTTATAAGCTTGTTCGTTTGAGTTCAATGCGATTATTTTAGAGCTATATATCTTGCATTTGAGTATTAACTTGTCTGTTAAAATAACTTTTCAACAAACATGTTACACCATGTTATGTTATACCATAGCTTGTGTCAGTATAACTGTTAAACCAAACGAAAGCTCCGTTTAGAAGAATCCGGCGAAGGATAGAAAGCAGTCACTCGTGTAACCAAGATATCAGCTTCTGATAGGTCCGACTTGAGTTAGTATAAAGTTTCGGCTGTCGGCCCTCTTCAGATGTTCACAAGATAAAACTTGACAATATGTTTTTTTTTTTTAATGCAGCCACCATGCAGCTCTTTCTGTCGTTCATGTTGGTTATTTCTTTTGCTACTTTCCAACTTGCTTTTGGAGATGACAACAAAGTTGACAGCCTTACTGATGGCTCGAAGCAAGATCAGGAAGTCGCCGAGTTTGAGGCAATGGAAAATGATGACGAACAAGATGATGATGCTGAGTATAGATGGTTGGCCCCAGAAATGTTCGACGAAATGCAAAAGCGCGCTAACGTTACTCAGTCGGCCGCTGTAGCCGCTGGAGAGGGGGAGGGTGAGGAGTTGAAGAAAAACAAGAATAAAGGCGGAGGAAACAAGAACAAGAACAAGAATAAGAATAAGAATAAGAATAAGCCAAAGAAGAAGTTTAAAAATAAAGGTATGTCTCCTAAGTAGGTCATA